CTATAATAAAAATAAGGAACCCCCAAAATAGTATAGACAATTATTAAGGCCCCTATAGTAGAGACATCGCTGGGCAAAAAGGGCGTCCTTTCCCAAACGGAAACTCAACGGCTCAGAATGGACCAAAAGCTGGGTCCCCTGAGCCTTGGGAAAATTTGGGCTTGTTGCGCCATGCCTGGATAATTCGTTGGGCTCCCTTGCTCGCCACCCCTTCGGACTGCACCCTTATAAAAAGGACCCGAAAAGGGACCCTAACTTAGAGAACTACCCGCATGACGTTACGTAGTCTAAGAGCCTTCCACCGCCAGAATTATTTTCCTCAGGCCCCACATGGACCTGTAAAGGATATCATGCGGCCCGGAAGTACATGTGTAGGAAACCCTTAAAGGCCAGAGTGCACTTAAAGAATACGGCACTTAGTACCTAAGGTTAGTATTAGGATAACTATACTTGTAACTACTTATAACCCCAGTTATAGTACTTATAACCATACTTACTAAGTCCCCATGATCCTCCAAGTATGCTGTATACAGAGGCATGGGGGTCAGGATCAACCTACTTTCTCGCCTCATGAGTCTGTGGTCCCGGGATCGCTGATGCACATCCCCAACCAAGCCGTAAGCCCTAAACCCAAAGCCCCAAAGCCCTAAACCCCTAAACCCTAAACCCTAGACCCTAAACCCTTAACCCTTAAGTGTCAATATATACTACTCTTATGGACCCATAATAGGATGGTCTTTCGGGACCTAAAACCCATAAAGTGGGTTTGGGATTTTGCAAGGTTCAGGGCTTCGGTCCTTAAGTGGCCGTTCTGGTTCTAAGCACCCTCGGTTAGGGTTTAGGTTCAGGGTTTAGGGTTTAGGGTTTAGGGTTTAGGGTTTAGGGTTTAGGGTTTAGGGTTTAGGGTTTAGGGTTTAGACCCTCAATCTTGTGAAACTCGATATATCCGGGGTGGTTCTGAGTTCCAGAGAACGTCTGACATACCGAACAAATCTTAGTCTGTTTTTCAGGGCTATGCCGGGTGCCCGCAGCACTCATGTCACAAGAAATATCACGAGGCCTCACAGGGTCTCGTGGAGGATGGTAGCTACACTACATCTTTGCAGCAGTTTTCTGCAACCTGCAACCCATGTGAAATTCCTAAACCCTGAGACCCTAAACCCTAGGACCCTAAACCCTAAACCCTACGACCCTAAACCCTGAACCCTTAATAAGTAGAATAGGGTTTAGGGTTTAGGGTTTAGGCATATAGAGGCCTTGATAATTAGAATAGGGTTCTAGGGTTTAGGGATATAGGGGCCTTGATAATTAGAATAGGGTTCCTTTAAAGGGGTCTTTATAGAAAGGGTTCCGATAATTTGAATAGGGTTCCTGTAAACGGGTCTTTATCAGGTTCCATAAGGGATAGTATAAGAGCTACTCTAAGGGTTTAGTTGCAGGAGCCTTAATAAAAAAAACACAAGAATAAAGGTTTTGGGGCCTATTACACTATAACTATAAAAAGGAACCCTAAAATAGTATTGGTGATTATTTGGGCCCCTACAGTAAGCTCACTTGAAAGCAACTCCTTCCCTTGCCTTCGTAAGCTTCGCAGACTGGAAGATTAGCACCCAAGAGCTCCAAATCATATTTAGGGGTTTAGGATTTAGGGGATTCGCGGTTTAGGGTTTAGGGTTTAGCGGTTTGGGGTTTGGGGTTCAGGGTTTAGGGATAAGTCTTGGATCAGCCCTTTTGAGGTGGACTGGTCACATTAAGCCGTCAACTTCCTCAGCAGTACCTTAATCTAGGGCTTTCGGAACTAGGGGCCCAGAAAGGTCTATTCTGGAGGCTTGAGGTTCGGGTTTAGGGTTTTATCAACTCCCAGATTAAAGGAAAGTACAGGTGGGGCGTTTAGGGTATATTGGGCTTCTATAAGGCTTCCATAAGGTATATAGACCTTCTATAAGGCTCCTAGAACGGTAACTACCCACCTGAAAATGTCCTAGACCAGACCACTTCGAAATCACAAGGCCGAAGGGAGATGGTGTTGGCGTAGAGCCACCGCCGGGAACCCGAGCGCAGCCATTTTTTTCGAAATGGCCCCTGCAAAGAATCTGCAGGCCTTGGAAACGTCAAGTGCCTTAGGGTCTACCTAGACCATGAAGAACCTGCCTTTTGAGGGCTCCTTATTATGATTTCTTTATATAAATCCTTAAAAAGGTAAGTTATTTGGGGTTAAGGTAGGGTTTATGGGTCTTGAAGTAGCAACCGTATAAGCTTCCATTCCTAGAAACCCGAAACCCTAAACCTGGCCCAAAGGGTTTAGGGTCAAACCCTTATGTTAAAGATCACGCTGTTTTGCGACCGTTGCGCGCGCGTGCACCCTCGTTCCGGATCTGCGCTAGCTTCAAGTAGAAGTATGGCCTAAGCACCCACTGCTTTCTGTCAAGAGTCCTACGACACACAGTCGACCTAAACCCTAAACGCCCCACAGCCTAAACATAAAAATCCCTAAACCCTAAACACTAGAATCCCTAACCATAAACACAAAAATCTCTAAACCCTAGACAAAATATCTGATATCTCCAATCCCTAAAAATTCCAAACCGTAGCACCACGAAGCCCGACTCCCAAAAGTGGTGCCACAGGAGCTCCTGGAGACTCACTGCTTCCGAGGACGTGTACCTTAAACTATCGGAACCTACCTTTTTTGGTTTAGGGTTTAGGGTGTAGGGTTTAGGGTTTAGGGTTTAGGGTTTAGGGGGGCATCTGATTATAAACTAAGATTAATACAAGTTGTATAAGAGACCCCTACACAAAAATTGGTTTGGTCTGTCTTTGTGTTTCACGCCTAGACGACTTCAAGTGTCTGGGACGTCTTGCTCGGCCCTGTATCACGCCTTGAATCTGAATTGAAGCCACAAGCGGAGAAAAGCAGCCATAACTCCTCTAACTAAACTCTTAACCCTAATCCTTGGCTCCGGAAACATAAACCCTAAACCCTATACCCTATACTATACCCCTAAACCCTAAACCCTCTACCCTAAACCCTAACTAAACCCTTGGTTGCAACGGTGAAGTCTGCGAGTCTTTGATGGTTTGAAGATGCACGCAGCTGGTCGCCTAGCCAAGAGGCGAAGACGTCTGCAGTCAGTTGTTCCCTCAAGCCAAAAGGGTCCAGCTTAGGGTTTTTTTTGGTTTTAAGGTTTAGGGTTTAGGGTTTAGGGTTTAGGGTTTAGGGTCCAAGTTCCGAAAAAACGATTTCAACAGCCACGTCAGGACTGATATATATATATATATACACACACAGGGTCCTATATTGAACCAATAAGGAGGCATAAACTATGTCTCAAATCGGTGCCTTATAGATTTCAAAATGCGAACCTGCAGTTACCAATATCTCAAACCCAGGTACCCAGAGACTCCAATATCCCTTAATTAAGGAATATACCTTAAATCCTATTAGGGATCCTACTATAACTTAAGGAATATTCCTTAATTAAAGGATATTGGAGTCTCTGTGTACCTAGTTATGGGCACTTCGGACCCTCACGGCGGTCGAGAGCAAGAGACCAGGAAGCTTTCCTGTCTCCGTTTGGAAATGCCATGAAAGCTTTCCCTAAGGGTCCATGTACCCAAATAGTATATACTTTGGCCTTAAAGTAGTCCCTAGTTTAGGGTTTAGGGTTTAGGGTTTAGGGTTTAGGGTTCCTAGATAGGTACTTTGGGGCCAAAGTATATACTGTTTGGGCACATGGACCCTTAGGGTTTTGCATAGCCAACCTCGGCGACGTGACTCGGAACCCTGTGGCCTGCGGCCATTATGGACATCTCCTCACACTCTCCACATGCACTATGATTCCTAAACCGGTGAGCCCTAAACTGTACAACCTTAACCTAATCATTCAATCGATGTATCGTGTGAGGCTACTGCATGACAGAAAAGTGCCCTTTTCATGACTGCGGCACAACAGCTGCACTCGGAACTAGGAGTCATGCTCTTCCCGAACGACCTTTCGGGCGGGGAACGAGCATGGACAATTCCTAAGGGTCCATGTGCCTAAATATTATATATACTTTGGCCTGAAGTAGTCCTTATATCGGTGCTTTAAGGCCAAAGTATATACTATTTGGGCACATGGGCCGTTAGGGAATCTTTCAGTGGTTTCGGGGCCACCTGCGGCGAAAGGAGCGCTGAGGGGTGTCGGCCCAGCGCCAGATGCAGCGGAAAACGTAAAGGATGCATTCAACAATACTCCTAGCCAAGAGGGTCCATATATACTACGATTGAGGAAGTAGGTCCCCAAAACCATAATAAGGATGGTCTGTTGGGCCTATTTCCATACTGGTAGTGTATATGGACCCTCTGGGTAGTATTCCCTGCCCAGTGTCCTCTGTAGCCTCAAGAGAGTAAACTTGCACACACCAGAAGTAGAGCACGAAAGACTGTATGAATGGGGCTGCTGCGCAGGCGCCTGTAGAAACCACATATGCCCTGGCTGCGACACAAGAGATGTATTCAAACTGCAAAACTGCCAAAGGCGTTGCAACCTGTCTCGAACCACCTGTGGGGAGACGAAAAACAATGATGATCATTTCGTTTCGAAAGCCGGCAGCGATCAACTGTGGCGTAGGGCACACTGGGAGGCCTTCAGCCCACCGCTGGTTAGCCAAGCGAGCATGCCGGATACAGCACACCACGCAAGTGATGCTGTTACACTCTCCTTGTATGCCCAACGCCCTATGTAGACTCCAGAGAAGATGAATGCAATGCAAAGCAAGTAGAGCACCAAAGACCTTAGTTGTCGAATTCATGCTTCCAGAATTTCGAATCTAATACCTGGGTGTTGACGTGTGCTGCGGGTGTACAATCCCGGAGGGTCCATATATATACATATATATATATATACACATTACCATTGTGGAATTAGGTCCCAATAGACCATCCCTGTTATGGTTTTGGGGGGCCTACTTCCACAATAGTCGTTTATCTATATATATATATATACATATATATATATATGTATATATGGGCCCTTTCGGTATACATACACCAAGCAACACTTCAGACGTCAGAAGCTCCGAGCCCCAAATCCCCGGACCCGAGTCCTTACAAGAAGGAAGCGCAACTCGGGACCCTGCTCCGATTCCCCTCGATTCCCCTAGATTCCTAACTAATTAAACCCCTTAATGCCTTTTTCCTGTTATTCAGTTTTAACTAGGGTTTAGGGTTTAGGGTTTAGGGTTTAGGGTTTATTCAGTTTTAACAAGGGAACAATACAACAAAAAGGGCAAAAGGGTACTACTCAGGAACCTAACTCCCTCTTGACCAAGAGACTGTGCCAGCCCCCATAGGCTGTTTCTGGGCATGGGGAATCGTCCAGCCAGAAGCATGGCAAACCTTGCTGTTGATTTGAGTTGACTGTCTCTCCCGTAGGTGTATAAATGTGTCTGTGCTTTGTTGTTTTGCTTTGTGTGTGCATGCTTGTATGTGCGCGTCCGTGTGTGTGTGTGTATAGTGTCTGCCTGCATGTGTGTGTGTGTGTGTGTGGTCTGTGTGTGTGGTGTGCAAGCAGCCCATCCAGTCTTGTACCAACGAAGACACTAGGATGCAATCACACGTACCTGCTGCAGGATTGTTTGTGATGTATTGTGCCCAATGGAGATGAAACAATATGAGAAATGAAACAAGGTTGACAACATATGAAAAACGTCACGCCAACGCACTGATGTAGGGCCTAATTGTGTTGAGGGGGGGGGGGAATTTGGGGGGGGTGCAAATTATATTTATGGTACAAAATACCCCAAAACCATATTCTAATCTATCGACATTCAGGCCCCTATATTAGTCCGCTTCGCCTGTCTCCGATGTCGATCCGAGTGTTTATCTTCAGCCAGATATCTGTTAACCAACAAAACTCCTACCCTAAACCCTAAAGATCACCATGAACCCGGAAAGCCTAACCTCTAAGTCTAGGGGTTCGAGTTTAGGGTTTACTGTTTAGGGTTTAGAGGTTAGGATTTGGGGTTTAGGGTTTAGGGTGCCGGAGGCGCTACAAGTGTTTGGTTGAATGGAGCTCTTTACGACTCCTGGGGCTTGCAGCAGATGTCCTGCGTCTCAAGGCCTAGCTATCCGGGTTCCTTATTGGGGTTTAGGGTTTAGGGTTCCTTTAAGGGTTTAGGAGGGTTCAGGGTTCCTTGAAGGGGTTTAGGGGTTAGGGTTCCTTATTCTGACTTCCGCACATGAATCCTTAAAGAAGGCAGAGTATTTGGGATTACGGTAGGGCTTCTCTCTCGATTTCAAGCGTCCTGGAAAAGGGGGGGCCCTTACCAGATGATACTGCTATCTATGGTCGGGTTTGAGCCGCCCCCTGACATGGAACTGTACCGTCAACCGGGGTTTAGGGTTTAGGGCTTAGGGTTTCCGGAGGAAAGGCAGGAGTATGAACACAACTATTCAGGGTGTTCGGGAAATGCCCAAGCCGGAATGTGGGGATAGGTGGCGTTAGAACACTACAAACCCTAAATCACAACCTGCCTTTCCAGGGTTCCTTATCATAGCTTCTTTATACAAAACTCCAAACCCGAACCCCTAAACCCTAAACTCAAAACCCTCAAACCCTAAAGCCCTAAACCCTGAACCCCTAAACCCTAAACCCTCGAGGTTCTCGTCTCACCGGGGATTCTGCGGCAGTTGAGACAGGCAAGGAGCTGCACCACTGCGATCCACCAGAAACCAAAGAGTCCAAGGCTCACGCCACAGCCTAGGCGCCGCCCTCCCAGCCCCTAATACCAAGGATACCACTCTCCCTACCAATATTCACTTGTGTTTAGGGTTTAGGGTTTAGGGTTTAAGGATAGCACTCTCTCTACCAATACTCAGCTGGGGAGATGCAAAAAAAGGGCAAAAGGGTACTACTAGGAGACCTAGCAGCCATAGGACACCAAATTGTGGATAGGAGCCCCAGCTCTCACTTGGGCTGCCAGTGCGTCCATTCCTGGGCTAGGGTTTAGGGTTTAGGGTTTAGGGTTTAAGGTTCGCCTGTTTCGGGGTTTGGGGGTCTAGGGTCTAGGTGGATTTAGGGTTTAGGGTTTAGCATTTAGGGCTTAGGGCTCAGGGTTTAGGGTTGTTCCATAACCCTAAGGGTCCATGTACCCAAATAGTATATACTTTGGCCCCAAAGGAAGTACCTGTAGTGGGATTACTTTTAGGCCGAACTGTATAATGCTTGAGTACATGGACCCTGGGGGTTAGTGGGTCAGGGTACCTGCAGTCGCCATTGAGTTCCCGTTGCGGGTCACCTTACAGGAGCTAGAGCAATGGAGACGATCGGTAGGGTTTACTGTCCAATTAGGGTTAACCTGTAGCGCAACATCCCTGTTTGACATGAACATCTTATGTAACTTCGTTCAAACAGGCAGGGATAATGGACTACAGAAAGGCGGGATGTTCAAGGGTTTTCTAGCAAAGGCTCGTGTTAGGGTTAACGTGTTGCGCTGAATTGCCAATGGTTCCAAACGCGTCGTGAATCCTGCAACTAAATGGGTAGTTGTCAGAAGTGTGGTCCCTTTTGGGGTACCCTAAATAATAGGTGCCGTATTATAATAAGGACCCAAAACGGGACCCTAATTTTGACAGCCACGCAAATGCATCTATTCGACTTTCGTCGGAGGCTCTTTCCGACTGGTCAAGCGTTCCCCAACTCGAAACACGAGTCCTCAACCTGAACCCTAAACCCTAAACCCTAAACCCCCAAACCCCTCAACTCCAAAATCCTACATGCTCCTTGCGGCAGATTACCTAGCGTAATCCAGGGGGTCGCGATCATCATAGCGTAGTTCCACGGAAGGCTGGTGCCCACGTGGTTCGCCAGCAGTTCGTCACGGAGGGGGCCGCGCACATAGGCAGTGAAGGCATCTAGGCTTCCTGAGGCTGGGCAGATCCGGCGCTCATATGAGGATTCTGAATGTTCCGGGGTCCCTCATCGGGGGCCCCAAAAAAGGCTGAAAGCAGTGCCTGAGTGGCCTCGGAACAGGGGGAACCAAAACTGAGACTGGCAGGCGACGACATTGGCAGCCATATTGGTTTGCTGCCCACCAACCCGCAAGCGACGTCAATACCACCTAAACCCTAAACCCTAGTTCATCCCACAGTTTCGAAGGTGACAGAAGTATAGGTCTGACACATCAGCCGCACACGCCTCGATCCGAAGCCCACTGCCACAAACAAAGAGCGGCTCGAAGCCCATGGCACTACAGTAGTTGCAGGCTTTACCGTCGAGCTACCCCAAACCCAAATCCTGAAGTCCCAAACCTTAAAACCCGAAACCCCAAAACCCTAAACCCTAACTATAAGTAAACCCTAAACCCTGAACCCTCCCTCGCTGTCGAGCTACCGTACCAGCTCTCGATTGCGGCGTAGATGAACTCCTGGTCGGCGGCCGTCCGACATCCCGCGGCCGAGAGCTCAAAGGTTGCCAAATCATAGAAGACCTGGCTTTAGAGAAAGACCCGGGGTCTAGAATCTGGGATTGGGGTTTAGGGTTTAGGGTTTAGGGTTTAGGGTTTAGGGTTTAGGGTTTAGGGTTTAGGGTTTAGGGTTTAGGGTTTAGGGTTTAGGGGTTTCGAACTTAGGTTTACAGGATTCTTCGAACGGCTGCTTCAGAGGTTGGGTTCAGGGGCATGACATGTTCTTTTACTTGCTTCCCGTGGCTCTCACGGTCGTCGCTTTTCTCTTCTAGCCCTGATGTCCTGAGGTCGCAATGCTGCACGACAGACGAGGCGACGCGCAAGTATGCAAGAAAACATACTCAGGTTGCTAAGTACAGTATATCTGCATATATCTCGCTGGGCCACCTAAATGCGACAATCTTACGCCTTGAATCCCAGCCCTAAACAAGCCCTGAAGCAAGAATCAGCTCAAACAGGCCACATTGCTCCCTTGAAAGAAACAGAACGGTCCACCTGGCGCTTCTGGGACAGGTTCGTCCGGAGCAGGTGGAAGACCACAAAGACGGGGATCGCGGCAAAGACCAAAGTAACTAGAGCCTCCAATCCTTCCCGTCGGGGGTTCAGGGTCTGGGGTTTAGAAATTAGGGTTTAGTTGGGGTTAGCAAGCAGTCCGAAGTATACTTGCCCTAACCCCTAACCTTCCCCAGGGTTAGGATGAAGATGGGGGCTTATACTTATGCCCACCTCCCCCTTCCTGGAACCCCCTCCCCAAAGGGTACTACGTACCTATATTGTAGAATTGCAGGGTGTCTATACTTACGATTTGGGAAAGGGCCCCCTAAACCCTAAACCCTAAACCCTAAACCCTAAACCCTAAACCCTAAACCTCCCTAACATACCTGGAACCTTTGGGTTCTGTTCTGGGCCACAAGGAAGAGCTAAGCAGTTTGGAGCTCGGGCTGTTCAAGATGACGGGTTTAGGGTTTAGGGTTTTAGGGTTTAGGGTTTAGGGTTTAGGGTCACGGTTTAGGGTGTAGGGTCTATGGCTTAGGGCTCCTTATGGGGCTTAGGGGTTTAGGGTTGCCTTCGCAAATATCCAAAGGACCAGAGGCCTAAGCCTTCAGAGTAACATCAAAAAGACCAAGAGCCGCCGAAGAAATAGAAGTGAGGCTTATAGGGTTTAGGGTTTAGGGTTTAGGGTTTAGGGTTTTTGCAACCACTGCGGCTGGGAGGCGGGGGCTTCAGGCGACAAGGCTCCAAATTGAGGGTTGATGGTTTGGGGTTTAGGGTCTAGGGTTTAGGGTTTAGGGTTTAGGGTTTAGGTTGATGGTGCAGGGTGTAGTGGTTTCTGGCAAGCTCAGATATCATTCTGGAGTCCTTGCCTTAACCGTGGCCCACATGGGTGGTCGCCGCGGAGTCTAGGGAGGATTGAGCCTTTTGGGGTTTAGGGCTTTTGGATTGCAGCTGCTCTTTCGACTACACCTAAGACGCTTCGTTCTTAAGGTCTAGAGTCTAGGGACCCAACAGTTCGGGATAAGGACCTTTAACCCCCGACAGCCTTGCCTGTGCCAGCGCTCAGCAGGTAGTAGACGACAACAGCCACTGTACCACCAAGCCAGGCAGACGCAGCACCGATCTCCACGAACCTCGACTGCAGACTGGTGGCTTTGTTCTTCGACTAGTTTCCCCAGCAACACGTGAGCTCGCTCTGCATTGCCGCCTGCTGTCTATTTGCCTCCTGTCGTGGATACGAGTAGCAAAGTGACGGTGACTGCCGTTCGGCAACAACAAGCAAGAATGACCCCACACTAGCTACACCATTCCTTTATAAACCCTAAACCCTAGACCCTAAACCTTTCTTGGCTCTTGCTTCTTAAGGGTCCCTCCTAAAGCCCTTAGATTGCAACTCTGAAACCCTGACCCATAACTTGCTGCACAAGCCCTGAACCGTGTTACCCCGCAGAGCTCCTAAGAACTCCAAACCCGACGACATAGCATCAGAGGAGCAAAGGGGCGAACCGGATCCTGCCGATGGCCGCAAAACCCTAAATCCCTAAATCCTAAACCCCTATAACTCCGAAACCCCTATAAACCCTAAACCCCCAAACCGTAAACCCCTTAATCCTAAACCCCTAAACCCTACACCCCTGAAGAAATAAACCCCTAATGCCTAACCCAAAATATCCTAAACCCCTAATGCCTAAACCCTGAACCCCAGCGGGGCTTGGAGTTGGGGATGCTAGGGTGTTCTTGCGGAGTTTAGGCGAGAGCGGCCATTGCATCGGGTCTATACTTTGGGGATAGGCTTTAGCATTTAGGGGTTCAGGGTCTAGGGGTTTAGAGTTTAGGAGTTTAGGGTTTAGGATATAGAGGTTTAGGGTTTAGTTAGGCTCATTGGCATGGGGTTGACGGCTTGGGCTCCAAGTTAGTCTACGCATCAAGAATTCTAAGTTCCATAGGGATCCCATAGTCTTCTCCCATAGTCTTCAGGCAATCTTTCACCGAGGGTATATAAAATATGGGGCTAAATCTGGGCTCTCGCAAGGAGTACTTAGGATTTCCGTCGAGCAATGAAGGCTTGCGCGCCTCGGATCAAGGTTTAGGGCTTAGGGTTTTACCTAAACCCTACACCCTAAACCCTAACGGCCAGTCTTGGAAGCTGGGGGTTCCATGTTACCTATAGGGTCATACCCTACCCCTTTTCTCAGGTACCTAGTTTTATGGTTCGGATCTGCTATATAGAAGAGCAGGGCAAGATCCAGGGCTCAGAATCTATCGAACCGCTGTGGGGCATCGGGGGTGTGCTAAATGATCGTTGCTCCTATGTCCTACCTTAAACTACCATAACCTACTTTGTTGTAAGTTTTTGTTAAAAACACCTATATACAGCTTTTAGGACCCTACAACACATCGATTTTGGTTTAGGTACGCGCCCATAACGCCAACCCCCCCAAATCAAAGAGTCTTCCTCAAGTCAAAGTTTGACCAAAAGCTGTGGTACTTCCTGGTAAATGAGCGGTGAGCCGTGTGAATGAGCCCCGGCTCAGGGATCACAAGTTGGATAGTCTAACTTAGGACTTGTGCAGCCTTTCAGACTTCTCCTTGCGAAACTTAGTTTGAACTTACCACAAATCGAAGATTGTACTCTACTATGTTCGATTGAACCCAGTTCCTCAAAGACACTGTCGCTATCCCTACAGTATCTAACCTGTATAGCTATACCTGTTACTATGTCGGCTTAGATTCCCGAGTGATAGAGCAAATTGGCGACCGAAACGACGATGCCGAGCAGAGGACGAGCACCAGGACACCATCATTAAACTACCAGGAGACCTACACCCTAAACTTAGGGTTTAGGGTTTAGGGTTTAGGGTTTAGGGTTTAGGGTCTAAACCCCTAAACCCTAAACCACCAGACCACCAGGACACCACGGCCAAAGTCAAAGAGCCACAATGCTTCCCCAAGTTGCTGGCGCATCCAGGAGCGTGACCAAAACTATGGGTTTTGTGGTTTAGGGCTTAGGGTTTAGGGTTTAGGGTTTAGGCCAACACTGATTCGGAGACATGACCACCTTGCCTCTTTTCATGTCCTGGCATGATGCATCACTACGACCCACCCGCTTCTCCGACATAGCGGTGAGGTTGAGGACAACGGCCAACATGTTTTGTTCCACATATTGGCAGAAATTCAATCAGAAACTTCGAGGAGACCAATGTAGCGGAATTTGCGAGAAATGCAGTTTCCGGAAGACGGCACCCAGTGGATCCTGTGCAAATGACAGGACGAGCGCGAACTGTGCCCGCGCCACACCACAGCAGCTGCGTCCGGAGCCGTTTTCCTGCTTCTCGTTGGGTGGTTACCTGTGACCCAAGCCTCCTCACACTTAATTGTGGATCATGTTGGGACTCGATATTCTGCGCCTCACTGCCCGGGGAAGTATAACCCTGACAGACGGCGTCTGTGTGGGCAAGCGGGAGCTCATTGATGTTTGCGCGGGGTGGTCAGTCAGGACCTCGCGAAACTTTGCAGGCTGCCGATGACGCTTGCGTGGGCTCCCTGAAATTGCGGAGGGGAAGGACCCCCTTCTGGCAGCCGTACCTTGCGCACCTTCCCATCCATCCATGTAATGTATACCGCCCTAAACCCTAAACCCTAAACCGGGCCCTTCATAGAACCTTAATTCTGGTCTCATCAGAAGGAACCCACTTTCGGGGGTGGGCCCGTAATTAATCTCCAACAAACTCGGAAAAGCCGGAGACTCGAAAAACTCTTGAACCAAGCCATACCTATAGGGTCATACCCTACCCCCTTTTTTAAGGTACCTAGTTTTACGGTTAAGAACTGCTATAGAAAAAAGCAGGTACGCTCAAAAAGGGGTAGGGTATGACCCTATAGGTATACCTTCAACTATACGGATTCACAAGGTTTAATTAGGGTTTGCAGCTTGGTCCTGCCGGACGGGTTGGCCATTCGAAAGGCACCCAGCTCGAACACGCACCACAGCCTATGACGCCGATGGCTTTAGGGATTGGATTTCGGGGTTAGTTTACGGGGCTTACTGTTTGCTTTTTTTTCGTTTATGGCTTCAGGGTTCAGAGACCTATGACCCGAAAAACATGTGTTTAGGCATAGGTACTTTCTGTTCGTGAATAGGTCGATCCTTAGGGTTGGCCTTGGCCTAAACCCTCAACCCTAAACCCTTATACACCCTAAACCCTGATCGGAGTATCACACCGTCAAAGCCTTTGCAAACACCACAGCCTTCAGAACAACAACAAGCTTTGAGTCGCCTGGTGAGGTAGGGCGCGGAATACAGGATCCTCAGCTCCTGAAAGCGAGGTTCTTGTAAACCACAAGAAAACATGTGTGAGGATATTTGTTATATATATATGGGTGGTCAACCCCCCACGATCCATCTCCGTCTGTCTGCGATATGTAAACATACTAGGAAATTTATGGATTTCGCTGGAGTCATTGGTGGAACAAGTTATATTCTCTGGGGGTTTGGGATTTTGTAACCAAATCCAAAACTTCCCTGGGAAACAATGAATTCTGTTGGTGTCGCCGGTCGAAACCATTGTATTCCCCAGCTGATTTTGGATGTCGTTGCAAGATCCAAAAGCACTCAGAGAATATATTGATTTTGACCAGCGACACAAGCAACATCCAAACATGTCCTAGGTTTTTTGGGGTTCTACACAAAAGACCCGAAAAGACGATGGACATCCAACAAATCAAAAACATCGCGAATCCAAAGATTGTATGAACATCTGTGGATTTTTGGATTTGCCAGTGTTTGCAGATATTCGCATTCTCTGAAATCTATGTTTCATTCCTGCGGCATTGCACATAAGCTTCATACAGGAAGCGTGGGCGCTCCTCATGGGCTCACCGCAAGGATGTGAACTTCAGCTGGGAGGTTGTGACATGATCCCTGATCCGAATTTTGCATTTAGCACGTGCAGAAAACACTGTAGCAAACAAGCTGGGCGCCCCTCCTATTCTGATATTCCAATAGAACCTATATGCCGAATAACACAGATATCTTTGATATGAGGGTATGTGTTTATGCTAATGTGGAGGCTCGGAGAGACCAGTGTGCCTCTTTAATGCGTTCTTTGCTTATTCTAGGACCAAAATTTGGAGTGTCCCAATCCATGGGCTTTTTTTTGGGCCTGGCAATTTTTGCTTGTGTTGCTTCCCTTCTGTTGATGGTCAATCTTCAGGCAGCCACGACCCAAAACCCCCCTCCAAACCCTGAAACCCTAAACCCCAAACCCTAAACCCTGAAACCCTGGCCCTGAAGCCCGAAACTCTGCTCAAACCCGAAACCGCCCTTAAGCCTAAAGCCTAAATCCCCCTTGAGCCTCATCTCAACCTCCCTTTATTCAGCCTGAACCTTAGACCCCCTGAAACCCTGGCCCGATACTCCCCCAAACCCTTCTACTCAAGCGCCGAGACCCCAAATAAAAGCCAACCACCCCAAACCCCCGGAAACCTACAGAACCCGCCTTAAGCACCGGAACCTACTGAACCTTCCTAAACCCTTCTACTTCAGCCCCCAGACCCCAAATCAACCCAACCCAGACCCCAAGCCAGCCTTCTAATTTAGTCAAAGCCACCCAGACCCCAAGCCAACCCACGAGCCCCAATCTACCGAACCTCGGTCCAGGGGGTCACGGATCCCAGATTATTCAGGCCAAGAACTTTTTGGTGGGGGCTGGGGGGGGGGGGGGCTATTGATTGAGCCGCCACATTATGTGTTGAAAAGCCGTCGGGTTCTCATGTGGAGTTTGTTATCACCCAAAGACTTTGTTTTTATTCAGCCTTCGTATCTTTGAGAACCCAATGTGTCGACTCCGAGGACATTTCTACAGCACATGCAGTTACAGGAGCATCAGGGGGCCTACGTGAGGGTTTCCGGTCCCGCGCAAAACTCGAGAGAGCATACAAAGAAAAGTGCTATTCAACGCTATGGTGAAACAAATAGGAAATGGGGACGACAGTGCAGGGTACATTTCTCAAATATGGTAAAATACCGTTTTCCGTCCGTTGACAAGCCACTAGCTACCACGCAAACATTACTTGCAACGGGCTTGCTCAGCTTTCGTAACTTCAATCACCAGCTATGTATTAAACGAACATGTATTGGACAATTTCATGAGTTTAACTAACCTTCTGATTTTTGCTCAAATAAACAATACAGCGAATGTACTGAGAATTTATAGTAGCTAGTTTCCAACTCAATCTGCTAGCTATTGACAATACGCCAGTCACTCAGAAAATAGCCATTGCATGCAATTACAATGTTCTTTCACCACTAAACCATAGCATGTCAACTACATGATCCGAACTGTTCGCTTTAACATCGCGGAAATCCTAATCAACTTGAACTACCGCAGTAACCGCATACTGGTGATGCATCATTTCAGCATCATCAAATATTACTTGCATGCTTGGTATTACCCTTTACCTGCTGTAAGCTATCTTCTAAATATTGTTTTGGTGTCAATAACGCTTTAGGCATCTACTCATGTAATATTGGTCGAACAATTCATGAATATCAAATGCCGAGCGGTATTAACAGTTCAGGAATATCAAACGCCAAACGAGATAACTAATTACTAAGTATCTCTCATGACGGTAATCCGAGATTGAAGAATGAACAACATGCCCGGCATCTAGCAATTGTTGATTTTAGCGTTTATCCTTGCTCAGCTGTCTCCTAAATATTTCCGAAATAGCAAAACCGCTTTAGCTATCTACTCATGAGATGTTGGCCGAACAACTCATGAATATCAAACGCCAAGCGATACTACTAATCCATGAATACCCAATCCCAAGCGATATCCATAATTACTAAGCCTCTTTTATAATGTTAGTTCGGTAGTGAAAATGAATAACATGATCGGTATTGAACAACCAATGATATTGCCTTTTATTTTGTCGTCGGCTATCTAATATTTCCTTAATGCCAAAAACACTTTGGGTATATACACATGAGATACTAGTCGAATAAGCCATGGATATCACATGCCAAGAGATATGAGTAATTATTGGGTTGGTTCGAGCTCACTGCATATCTGAGAAATGCTCACTCAAGAGTGCTCACTACAGAGCATCAGCATCTGTAATCCTACACTGACTGCTAATTAAACACCAAGCGAACACCCACATCAATGTTGCGAACACACTAACCAGGTGTCATTGACGTACTACACAGATTAGCCAATATATATACTACATCCCCTGTTCATCTATCACCTAAGTAGTATACAGATGCTACATACATACCACATAGCTATGGTGGATATATGAAGAAAAACTGAACTTCCCAGAATCGTTTACCATCCATGAAAGATTCAAACGAAATTCACAAGTTTGCTTGATGTTGTAACGGTCTTGTCCCATAACTTTGATTTCTCAGGATAAGGGTGTTAGATTTCCACTACTCACGTGGGTTTATGTCGCATATCACACACGCGCAATGCTGGGTACATGATCCCGCTTGTCAACCGCGTTTCGGGGCACTCTTTACAATAAGTACACGAAGGAATGGCAGTGCATAAAAAGTAAACGGATACTCGATGTAGAAGCTGAATAATGAAGCACAACATTCCCTAGTCATCCTTCTATGTATTATGTTAGTAAAGAGTTACTAAAGAAAACCAGGCTCGTTTACATCGCAGAAACCTTGATCCTAAAGTTCTCCGAAGCAAGATACTATGATTTTTCACCATTTAAGGATTACGGCGGTTACGGTCACAATATACATATGTGGTCGGCAGCCTGTTTCATGCTCTCCAAGACCACGCAACAGTCACAATCAAATGAATCCAGAGAAACCAGCTGAAATATAAATTCGGACACTTTCGAGACAACATTCACGCAAATGAACCAGCATGCAGCTCCAACCATCAGGACTGTCCAATCTTGGTTCTTGACATCGCATTGAAACTCAATTTTAAAAGCAGCTTCCAACACAGGCAAGCCTGTAGAACCAAGAACCAAGCCAAGAATCAAAATCCCGGGCGCCGGAGCCCTTCCGCCCTTGTGTCGCGACTACAGACTGAACACGAAGGGCGTGGAGCAAGGATGTCATTAAGACCCCCAGCCCCTCCGGAAGAAAACCCCCAACACCTCCGGAAGGAAGATGAAGGCCCAGTCTACTACTACTACTACTACTACTACTACTACTACTACTAGTACTACTACTAGTACTACTACTACTACTACTACTACTACTACTACTACTTAGTACTACTACTACTACTACTACTACTACTACTACTACTGCTACTACTACTACTACTACTACTACTACTGCTACTACTAGTACTGCTACTACTACTACTACTACTACTACTCCTGCTGCTGCTGCTGCT